TATATATATATATATATAACTGAGATACTAGTGTATATAGCTTTCTTCTTTCTACCGTTACATTTCATCAGAGGCCTTTCCCTACCTACTAACTTAAATGGAATCGGGCCTAATGGTTTTGGAGTTATTATGGTCAATTCATTGTAGATCTTTCCAGTGGAGGCTGGTTGACATGTTGAAAATAATTTGCCCATTTTATTTGACTCTTTTTCTAGTGGTGTTGGCCATTCACACTTGGAACTCACGAACTAGAATGTGTGTGAACTGTGATGGTGTGGGCTTTCTAGTTTCCTGTCAAGAAATTAATAGACACCACCATAAAGAAGGGCAGATTGTTTCTCTGTGTGTGCGTGCGTTTCTTTTGGAGCCTCCAACACGTCTGCTCCCTCAAGCAAAGATTCCTCTGAAGCTTGGAATCGGAGCCATTAGCCAAATGGTATTTCTTAAATGTCCTCAGTGCTTTTCTCAGGGAGGGTCTCAGCCTCATGAGGGACAGGTGTGAAGCAGTGACTCAGGAAGGTCACACTTGTCCAGCTGGCCAGATTTGAGCAGCAATGGACTGACACGCATCTGAACAAAATATCAGAATATTGACAAAAACTGTTAGGAACTTTGGGCATAGCCTTCCTCGAGTTGCTGAAAGGGTCTGTGCACCACCTAATCGTTGGCAAGTTTATCTTGTTCTGAGGAAATCAGTAACTATATCTGAGGAACACGGCCATTTTTCTTATGGAAAAACTGAGGCCAGTGCAACGCGGTCATCTAAATGACAGGGTGAGTTACCGGCGGACTTAAGAGCCAAATCTCTCTCTCTTCCAATTGTTATTCTTGTATAAACACAAAGTACACACATTTCGCTTGCTGAAGAAGCGTCATAGCCTAGCAAGTTTTCCATAGGCTCTGGCACTGATGATATTTGACCTGATTTCCCTGCAGGCGTGGCCAAAAGCTTCACAAATGGAGGGTTTGCCTTCATATTCCCCTAAAGACTGGATCTGTCAGGGGGACCTGAGGCAAGAGTCTCAGTGATGGGTGACAGAGGGGATAGGCTATGGCCCGAACCTTTTCTGCCGTCTCTGAATTGCATTTTGTTTGAACTACATAACGCCTTTAGGAGATGGGGCTTGTATCATGAATGACAAACAGCCCCGGAGAAGAAAACCGTTTGAGTCACTCTAGCGAGGGCTTTCCCCCGCCCCGCCCTGGTAGCAGCCTTCTTTCGAAAAGTTGTGTTCTCTTGGTGTGGGGACAATGCAGACAGAACGCAGGGAAATAGAGACCACGCGTTTCCCCCTGCAGACCCGGATGGCATGTTACCAGCACCTTGCTGCACATGCAGGAGAGAAAAAGGAATGTCGACTTGGAGTATGAAGTGCCGAGGAAATACTACCAGATGCTTAAGACATGAGACTAATTAACATT